CCCCAAAACCCCAAAACCCCAAAACCCCAAAACCCCATAATTTTAAGATTTATTTTAGTTTATTTAATTAAAATGCATGCTTTTAGAGGCAAATTCCTTGAACGAAGAAGAGCTACTGCGAGTAATATTGGGTGAAGTCCTGATCGTTCATCAGTCGTAAGTTCTTATATCATTACTCTCTGAATCCTCATTTTGATTTATAAATAGGCAAGCAAAGTAACAAAAACACCAAGGTCAATTACTTGTGTACCAAGTCAGAAATTTAGAGATCTGCCATCAAAATCGCTAAACTTGAGCTATAAGAAGTTAAAGCTTTTTTGGAAGTTTCCTTACCATAGACTTAATAAAAGAGCACATAGAGATTTGATAAAATAATCTTGACCTGATTAAAAAGTCTCCAAAATGTCACCTTAAAATCAAAAGGGTGCAGAATAAGCCTGCTAATCCAGTGACTCGGGAGGAAAGTCTGAACCATATCCAGTCACTTGTTAAGAAGATCAGTATGAGAGTACAACAACGAAAAAGGGATTCTTTCAACTTCAGTCTCAAGTTTACAAAGAGAAAATCAGAAAGTAGAAATTTCTTGAATTCTTCAAATATGACTTCAAAGAGTCGATCTAGTAAGCACTCACAGGACTATCGTATAGAGAGACGAAAATAAGTCTGTCAAAACCAAGTACTCGCTCTCTAGCGATGTGTCTAATGGAGAACTAGACTACCCTCAGCTTTATTGAAGAGCATTTGATAGCTTAAAGAAGGACTTAAATATGAAGAAAGAGATTGGAACAGATTTTCTAATGTAAACCATTTATTATTTCTCCTCTAACGTAGACTAACATGGTCTAGGTCACCTCCAAGAAATAAGAGTAGCTTATACCATAGTCAGAAATGGTGTGTAAATTGTGCCAATGAGAATCCACTCCTCTTGTCCCACATAGGTAGTTAACCTTGATTACTTATTCCCAATATGCAGGCATATAAAGGGGTTTTGGGGTTTTGGGGTTTTGGGGTTTTGGGGTTTTGGGG